AMSKKGGRMCSRWTYCYTTWAACTAAAACGTCGAACTTTAAATGCAAGAATGATAGAGCAAAAYCAGAAGATTGGAGTAATTTGCATTGGTCTCAGCACAAGAGAGCTACGACGTTCTAAACCATTTTATTTATTAGATCAAATTGATGGCTACTCTTATTCTAGTTTTGCTTTGAGCAGCTTTGATGGAAAMAGGCATGTTATTTATCAATAATATTAAATGTTGTTCTGACTAAACGCCGCTCGGGWGGCAATTATTTTACAGCGATTAGTGTAATAATATAACAGACAGACACTATGATAATATTTACTTTTTTACTGTAAATTGCGGCTTATTGTATAAGCATAGAGAATTCGAAAGACAGAAACATCCCGCTAATGATTGTAATAATAGCCTGTTGGGGGCTTTAATAAGGCAACTTCTGAGATACGCGGGCGCTTGTAAAAATATCGAAAGCACGCCGATGAAAATGAGATATTTTAGGGCAGAGYACCGAAGACCGATTATATTAGAAACTTAGAAATACCTCATTTTCATCATTTCAGTGAATCTCATAATATATTGTATTGCCCAAACCGCTTCGGGTTAGCATGTAACGCAGTAAACCTCAATGCGCGAAGCCACTAACCAGCCTCATGTATACAGTCACGTTATACCAATCCCCAGTATTCCCATCAGTCCATATGAATCGTTAAATGTATACACTGATTRAAAGAAGTCTTCAGTGYAATGTGGTCAGCGGTTGATCACATGACTTATTGTATTACTGGCTTTCTTAGTTTTACAGTTGTTCGCCAATCAGACCAAGAATAATACACCACCATGTGATGCACCATAAGTTCAGGTTCAAATTAAAATGACAAAGAATTAAAAGAATTGGCTGCGAATGTTCTAGCGAGCATCTTTTCACAAATCAAATTAGATACTTTCTATAGTCTTTTWTTCATATCTCGTTATATGGTAAARACCATAATTTGGTTGGCAAAACATCTATTCTTGTTATATCCATTTTTAGACTGATAAGTTAAATCTGTGGATGATTCAGACAAAGATTCAGACTTTTTTTAGTTTCAGAACTGATGACATATTATGAGTTCACCTGCCAACATTGCCCGAGGAAGTTTAGCCAAATAAAAAAAACGTTTTTATACCCTCTGCCTATTTACTCATGATAAAAAATAACATTAAGATTTCAATTCAAAGCTATAAAGCGGCATCTTTAATTTTATTTTGAGTTTTATTTTGATAATATCTTAACCGAATGCTGGGCGGTTTTGATATTAGATTCAAATTAGTGTACTTAATTGTTGGGCTCACGGCCGAACTCGGTCACAGTGTGGGATACAGGTGGCGAATAGCAAAGCTACCACAAAACGCACTTCTTACGTAACAAATCTCGTGTAAGTCCTTATTCAGATATACYGATAACAATTGTATAAAATGMACACATAAAAGAAGAGAGATGTTAAGGAAAATTAATCTCCAATTTCTAGACKYACRCAAGTTGAAAACAACACCTCTTATCGACACGATTCCATAAAAGTTTAATATCGTTGCACMATTTGTTGTTAAAAGATAGGATTTGTGGCTTATTACTTTTTAGGGGGGSCATTGTTTTGTGATAATTATTACTAGAAACCTGTGGTGAGGCAAGGACTTTTATTACAGTTACTGCAATACCAWTGATTAGTTCATTGTGAAGTGAGTGATGAATACACTGTCGTTAAGGTAAGTACAAACTTATAACGTTATATAACTTTTAAACATATCAACAAAACAACTTTACTGTTAGATTCAAACAGGCTTATAATACGTTTCCTGTGTTGAAGTTAGTAAAGACTCGCGATGTTAGTTCGAAAACTAATAAGTTAATCGTTACAAAACCTTTTTTTTAATGTATAAAATTTAACTTTGACTTCGATTAACAAAGTTAGAAACCACAAAAGAAGCTTCAACACTATATAGCATAGCAACAAACACTTTATATATGTATTCTAAACACTCGTCGTATTGAGGTTTTCMGCTCTYAGTTTGATTAATATASGCGAAAAGTAGGAGTTATATTCATTGTATAGTCATAAAAAAATATTTATTGTAACTATTGAAAATTCAATTGATTATTCTTAAAGTTTATAAAAATCCTCAGTCGCTTGTTCATTCTGCATGGGATTCATTTAACGCAAAATATATTTGATATTAGTTTCTTTAGGAGAACCACAATGCCAGTTCTGAACTTTAAACAAAACCAAATACTGACAAAAAATTCAATATAATTTGATTGATTAGAATCTATACTTGGAAATCGTTTCTTAAAACTTTACCCATTTTTTGACATTTTTCCCAATAACTCACATATCGTACGAGTCAGATTGATACATGATGTACATGTTTAACTGCTACTCAGTTGCGTGACAATTGAAAGAAATCTAGAAGCCACAATTTCTTGTTTGATATTGTTTAGAATATGAACAGCAAGAAACCTTGTTAAGACTTTGTGTGAGCCGACCGCGGCATCTCGATAAAAAACCTATTAGACCGCTAACATATCATGTCCTTATGCAATGCCTTTTGGCTGATGAGCATATAGACTACTAGTGCTGAGCGTGCAAAGGCTTTCAGTACGTAAGGTGCTCCAACCCCTCCCCCCCGGGTAAATAACGTATAGTCCCTGGTGATGGAATTTATATAACAAAAGCCTGGAGTAAAAAGTGTATAATTCTGAGGATACCTCTAGTTCAATTAAAATGTTTTCATACATATAAGATAAGAAGAAAAAACAATATCCCAGAAATAGCAATTTCATCTCATACTGGCCTTCAATCTCATGAAATCATTCCTAAAGGCCGTTTACACTTGCGATTTTTGAAGCGCGATTGTCGCGCGACAATCGCCCGAGTTTCGACAAGCTTGAAATTTGACTGCAATCGCATGGCTGTTTACACGTTTTACACGTACGATTTTAGGTGCGCGAGAACAAAGTGGCGATTGTCGTGCGACAATCGCGCTGCAAAACCCGCAAGTGTACTGAAACAAGCATTAAAGTGCTCAGAAATCACCTTCTCTCACGAGTCATATTTGTTGTCTTGGAGTATATTTGTTGTCGGAACGATGCCTATACCAGAGCGGTATGTCGTTGCGATTCCAATACCCATTATATCGATACAGTAACATATCATAGTTAGATATATATCTAATCATCAAGAATGTTCAAGCAATCAATTCGGTACCACGCCCTTTATCGCCTTCAATTATAAGAATACTGTTGATCACTACAGACTGACACTCGTTGGTTGAATACATACAAGAAAGAAGGGAGAGMTGGAAACACTCGCTAAGTTATGCCGACGAGTCAGCTTTTTCGGGATTTTCATCTATGAGACTTTGAATGTTGATTGGTTAGTTTGGACTGACGCTCTACTATGGTTAGGATCAGCCGGCCAGTTTTTCTATATTTCTTTTGTKTGATCAAATTAGCATTTTGCATTTTCAAGCTTTGTGCTTTAACCTTTTTTCTCTATTTCACTAGAAGGGACTTTAATTTTCATTTTTAATTTGAAAAGCATACCTCCACCTACATAGAYATGTAATCCGTGGGTACATTTTAATTTCACAAAATCATTTTCAATAGAAAATCGTTTAAATTAAACACAAAGTGGAGGATAAAGCCAGCCGACTGTCGGTACATTACCATGATGAGATTCCTATTCTATTTATCCCGCAATCCTACATGTTGAACCATATCTCCTGTCGTATCAATAATAAAAAAAATCGGGTCTTCTGAAGAGTACCAAAGTCCAAAGCGACCAGGGAGGCATTTTCCTCCAGTTATAATAATTCTTATTTCCSATTGAAGCGCTTGTTTCTGTGAACTGTTATGAATGCAGAAGTAATTAACACATTTTTTTAGTAACTGCAAGAWCGCGATGTATAATTGCCTCCCTACGAGAGCCTGAGGGCATTGTTTTGTRGAATATTTAGTGTGTCCTCTAGACCTGTTTACTGCATCAACGGGAAATATCAAGGCCTTTAGTTCAGAAATGAAAAAACACCTTACATTCTTACTCCACAGCAAAAGGTACTTCTTATTTCAATGGTTTTACTTTTTATTCAAACGAGAACCTACTTTCAAATTACACTAGCTTTTGGCTTCAAATAAACTAAAAGGCGATTGATTAGAAAAAATACATAAACATTCATTTAGATCTGTTGGACGATTTTACGAAACAGAGAAAAACATGTCTGGTCTTGTAAACGTTCATTGTGATAGTTATTAGCCATCAAAAAAAATGGCGCATCACATCACCTAGAAATCCATAACAGAAAATGACAACTTGTTGTATAGGCCAAGGTGAGATATTAACACTGAACATTGATCT